ATAAACAATATATATATATATATATATATATATAAACAAATATATAATTTACATATTATAGCTGTAACGCATTGCCTAGGGACATATAAATAAGGGTGTAAAACGTGGTGAAACGAACTGTCGTGTGAACGGTCTTCGAAATCTGTATGCATAGAAAAGATGTAACGTTTGTGAATGCGTAAAGTAAAGATAATAGCAATAATAGCAATAAAAAAAGGACAAAAAACCGAGCTGCAAAACAACACTTTGTGCTTTTTCTTTATCCCGTATCGCCCATGAAAATATTTGGGACTGTTTGAAAATTATTCTCATAATACATTTTTTATTTCAACACTATTTTTCCAATGGAGTTCTGTTTTTCGAGATTTTATGAAATATTTCATATTTTTCATTCTTTAGGCACTAAATTAACATTACTAAATAATATTAAACAAAAATAAATTTTAAGAGAATAAAGAATAAAAACGTGTAAGTATTAATTGGGAAATTAAAAAGTAGTGGACAATAAAATAGATATATTTTAAAACAAATGAAAGAAACTTCAGACACCATCGAAAACAAAGCTAATACGAAGTACCAAAAGTAAGCATAAAGAATAAGCTTAAAATAACTTAAAAATCCATCAACGTGTAAGCAACTTATTCTGTATTTCTTAAAGTAACGAAAATAAAAGGGAAAGCTAAATTAGAAACATTCCATCTTTTTCATAGAGAGAAACCACGAATATAACGAGATAGGGTTAAATTTCTACTCGTGATGGAGGAAAGAGGCAAAGGGAGAAGCGAAACTACGCGTGTAATTCCTCGACCGGAACTACCGTGGGCCATGTGGCGGCATAGACCGGGGTCGTAACCATAAAGCTTGGAAACACAGACAGCAGATACAAGTTAACCTTCTGCCTCTCCTTCCTCCAGTAACCATTTACTATCAGAGCGGACAGGAATAACACCCACGATTTTAGCATCTCCATATTTTTAATTACACGTTTGAGATTTGTAAAAAATTCTGTTTTCTTTTCTTCTTATTATACCATAATAGAAATGAAACGAATTTGCATGGACAATCTTAAAAATACTAATAGAGACAAAAATTTTACAGCTACATCATGCTATGGTTCTTTTCATGAATTATAGTATAGCTGTAATATATGAAAGCTTTCTTATTTTTTGGGATAAATTCCACCATATTGAAACGAACAAATTTCATGTTCTTAATAAATTAAACATTTTCCATAGAATTTGTGCAATGTTTGTTTACGTTTCACAATCCAATTATATTTTTCATTTATTTCCTCGCTTATTACTTGTGTAATTTTTGAATTGGCCATATTTTAATGAAAATAGTTTTCATCTAAAAAAAAGGAAATTTAAGGAGATTTTGAGGAGAATGTCAAGTATTCCTAAATTATAATACAAATAAATACAAGTCCTTTATTTTCTTAATATGGTCTTAATTACGCTATATCATTAGCTATTAATCGTACAGCAAGTCGAACCAGTCTTAAAAGCGTGCATCATCAAAATTTTGTCTAGGTTTGTCGCCGATAATGTGCAATTGACGTCCAAGTCTTGGAGATGGGGTCCAGGGTAATCGACGGCCCAAACGTGGTGCAAACAAAGGTGGAAAAATCTGTTCTTCCGCGTACAACTCTTCTTGGTCTTTCGGAAATCCATATGAGAAATATTCTTCTCCTGATTCTCTTCCCAAACGAGGCGTGAACTGCGTTATTTGTCGCTTCTCTGATCCTAGAAAAGAATTTTATTCGAAAATAGTCGAATCAGTTTCGATTTTCTTTATATTGGTTAATTAATTTATAAAAAAAAGAATATATGAAAAAAATTCAACATAAAAACGAATAAAACTGTAAGTATAAAAATAAATAAAAAAGTAGCTATGTAAGAAATTATATCTCTGTTAGCCTTAATTTTCTTCTTTTTTTTGGCATATTTACATTTTACATTTCATATTGAAATTTACGACTTTAAGGCCATATACGTCTCAATTTTGGTATTTAAATATATATATATATATATATATGTATATGGGTTGTTCTTATTATATACATATTGCGTGTGCGTGCGTGTAGATACACTATTGTCAAATTAATTAAAAATGTAATCTAACCTTACATTTAGATAGAAGCGTAAAATAGAGAAATATGAAATGATTTTCTTTTTGAGAAAAACAGTCGTTTAACCTATTAACCCCTTCGGCAACAATATATCGTGTGAGACTCGTAGTAAGCAAACGTAAACAATACGGTCAGGTTCGTGAATTTTCGCCGATGTCTTTCTGCCTCAGTACGTGTTATTCTTCGACGTGTTCAGCCAAGATTACTCGACATGTTCAGACAAAATTACTCGACGTGTGACAGCCATTGTTATCGATTATAATACGCGTTAATGGAACATAAATGGTAAGGCAAGGGGTTAAGCATACTTAGAGAAATTTACAGTAAACAGTAAAACGAAAATAAAACGTATTTCGAGTACCTGGAATTGTGATGACGGCCCAACGTGATCCGTCGAGCGCGTTAGCGAGTGTTTCGAGATCAGAATCGATCTCCGGTTTTCGATCTGCTCTGCGTCGTCGACCGAGTCGTGGGCCGAACCACATACCACTAGCGATATCCTGCGGGGCACGTTTGATGCATTTGCCGTCAGTGCACGATCCGAATTCGTTGCTCGGTGTCCTGTCATTGCTTACGCTGCTTGATAAATCTCTACCCTCTGCGGAAAGAAGCAAGTTTGACATTAATCGGTATTGTAACAATAATTCGAAGGAAAAGGTTATATTTACATATAAATTGCGTTCATTAGTTCGTAAGGGCTGTTACTGAGTTAACAAGCAAGAAATAACACGAAATCTATTCGAAAGGAGAAGTTAAGGAAGGTTATGTCAATCTGGTAATTTAAGTGACTAATATTTTCCGAATCTGTTAGAAATTGTAAGCTTAATCTTCATTGCCCTAATATTCTTTTTTTTAAAGGTTTTTCGTGTTTGTATGCGTATAAAAACAATGGCTCCTAACCTCAAACAAGAGGTTACGATGATTGATTACATAAAATTCAGTTTGTATACACGTCGACTGTAGATTAAGTATAAAGCACATAACGAAGAGGCAACTCGTGCATACGAGCAACGAACGACAATCGAATTTAGTTGTCACACAATCTTTAATGAATAAAAAGGTGCTCTTACAGACCTTTCTAGCAAATTATTCAGCAGGTATCATATATACATATATTAGAGATGAAAGAGTCGCTTCCTAAATCGTAACATCACAGTCTTTTAGGTTATACTACTACGATTAATTCATTCGTATTTATATAAATAACCAAAATTTATATCGAATTATTAAATACCCAACAGAATGATGGATAATATATGTTAACATTAATGTACTACGTATATTATTTATGTATTAATCATTATGTACAGAATTCTTTAATTTTTGTAATTTTTTATTACCATAATGTATATTAATAAATATTTCATCTTCTCAACTATATTTACTACTAATCATGAAGTTACTACTCTGTTAAATGACATGTGATAGCAACTCCATAAATACGATTTAGATGCTCGATTAATTATATTATATCTTTCTACGCTATATTATAAAAATTCTTATAACAAGTGCATGAAACACAAATTAGATAAATGACAGTGCTTCAAATTGTGTTTAATGCAATGTTACTTCCCTTTGCGAATTAATGAAATATTAAGTTTCCAATACTTGTTAAAATATTTTTGTAGTCAGATATAGCAAACAAAATTTTTGTAACATACTTCTCATTCTCCTTTACGTTGCAAATAGGTTTAATGAACTTTCACCACAATACACTGTCAGAAAAACGTACCGTACTCCCCGGAAGCGCAGGACAGCAAATAGATCACGCATAGTAGGACACAGGTGGTCGTGAGGCGATTAAAGGGCAGAAGCGCAACGGAACCGATCATTGCTTCGTTCGAGTTTACGTTATCACAAGACGTTGTCGGCGAGTGATGTCGATACCGTCTTCGGTCGCAGGTTTTATAGGGGTGCAAGCTACCCTCGCACACCCTTACCACTTTTCCTCTCTTTTTCTTTCTCTTCATTCCATTGTCTCTTCGTGGACAACGTTATTTTTCTTCCTCTTTCCTCGACAGGTCGATTTCATTTGAAATGAACTCGCGTTCTTGCAAGAAAACAACCTTCCATACGTAATGAGGATCCTAGATGCGTCCTCGGAGAACATCTGCAACCACCCTCTGGCTGAGGTACTGTCTTTCTCATTTCTTCCTCTACAATTGCTCTGTCTTCCCTCCTCTTTTCGCCTTTGATTCTTTGTCGTCACCGCAAGCCGGAAACGTTCGTACAGATGAATACATTGACTCCAAAGGGATTTGGGAGAAATTTTCCTCGATCTCTTCGTAGTCCTTTGACCATTTTTTCTTCTCTGTTATTCTCGTTTCTTTTCTCCTGTTTTAGGTAAAACAAAAAATATAAATCCTCTTTGATTAATTGTTGTCCATGTAAATCTTTAATATTACCTTAAAATCAGTTAAAAGAACTGGTTTCTATATTTTTATTTTCGAGGTTGTTGAATGTGTACAGGTGTCTTTGCTAAATTAATATTGATATTTATTAACCCCTGTTACTGGAGAAACGATTGGACTATAAGGTTAGAGATTCGTAAAGTTCAGCTATGATTTGCATTTATCTGACTCTTATGAATCTTACGAATCATTCTTCGCTCTTATGGATTTTTCTGCTGCATGGAATGATATCGCGTGGCAGGTAATTGTATTATGGATACAAAAATATAGGGTGTCCCAAAATTCACGCAAGATTTGAATTTTGCGGCATTTCTATGGTAAAGTATTATTAACGAAAAAAAAAAAAACAGCGTGACAACTGACAGTTCAGGATTATTAAAAATGGAGCGATACTCGAAAGAACGCCGCATCTTTATTGTTGAACATCTACAATTTTTAATTAAAATCCTGTGTTTTCTATCAAAATTACTTTTTGCGTGAATTTTGGGACATCCTTTATGAGAACTTTAAGCAATTCCCAAAAATGAAAGAACCTTTTCCAAGTAGTCTGCATTGATAGACACTCGAACTCTTTATCTCTCTGAAATATCTTAAGCTATTTTACAAGTCGAAACATTTGTACCTTCAGATTCGACTGATTTTACAATGTCGTTTTATCGTTCGAACCAACTATACTTAATGTTTGTTATTTATTATAGGATATATTAGTCCGTCATTCAGTCTCTGAAAAAGACAGTTGCGATAACGGGGAAACATCAGAATAGATGTAATTTTTATCGAACATGTGTTACATTCAATATGTCCCTCAAAGACTACAAGATATCTGAAGAAACTTTACTTAAGTTTCGTAAAACTACAAGAAACTTCAAAATCATTTCATCAAGAAACGATTACCAATTAGAGCAGTTAAACAAGAATTAATGGACGTCGAATAACACGCAATATTCAACGTTCATTGAAAGAGAAACTAACGACGAAAGAAGAAAAAAAAGGACAAAGCGTTGTCTAACATAACAGGAAGCGGGAATCACACAGACCACCCTCGCGTTTGCGCACCCTGACGCGCGTGACGAATTGAAGCAAACACCACGGGAGATCTGGTGGACAATCTGTTCTCGATTAAACCTGTCAATTAACTAATTCAATTTCAGGATCAACGAGACCGAGGCGCGAGGAGAGAAGGTCAGCTACTACGTATAAAAGCTCGATTGTGTATCTGCCTACCGACACACGGTTGGTCGTCTTCAAATCGTGCAATTCAAACTAATCTTGGTAGAAGCTTACAGATGGAAGTCAGGGGTTGATCTGGTTCTTTGAAACTATATCGGTAAAATGTAACTGATATTATAATAGCTTGCAATTGTTGATTTCCATGTTAAATTTATAACTAGCTTAGTCTCTCTTCATTTAAATCTAGGTACAGTAATTACCATTTTTTCTATATTTTGAAGGTTTAACGAGATTTCAAGCGGATTTATATTGAAGATCACTAGCAAGACCTTATAACTGGATTTATGCCTCATGGGGTAGGAGCTAATTAACTCTTGACATAGAATTACATCTGGAACACGTTATCCATTTTATGTGCCATTGTTGACTTAATGTTAGTGTTACTTAATTATTGTTCATTAATATTATATATCAACCTGATTAAATGTTATATAGCAATGCAAATTTCTAAATAAAATGTTCTGTTTCTAAGCTTCCACATAACTGTTCAGTTGAGCTAAATTAGATAGTATTTTTTGGACGCATCAAATTCCATTTTATTTGTATGTCAAGGGGTTAAGCTTCTTCTCATGAGGCCTGACAGCAAGCACGTTATGCATATCTGTACTACAGAGTCCATATTCAAAGAGTCAAACAATTAATCCAACGGTGTAATAAAATTAAGATCAAAAATAATGAATTAACAGTGAGAGAATGCAAGGTCCAGATTAAAATATCAATTTCAGTAGAGTTCAGAAATAGAATTCTGAATCTAAAGGGAAAGGGACCTAAATGAAAATAAGCTTCTTAACTATCTCTCAATGCAATAAATAATTAATGATTATCTTATTGCTTTCTTTATTTTTTTTTTTATGGTAAATTGGGTATAAAAATACCCAATAATGAGTGTAATCTTTCTTCTCAATTAGATTATAATAATAAATTGTATAATAATTAAAACATTGTGAAGGTATATTGTGAACGTGGGCAGAGTTGTTAATGGTTATAACTAACCCATGATACCATCTGATTACCATTGGCTGCCCATTTCCGTATTCTAATCCTATTCGTGCGCTCTATTTTGTCCGAAGTCAAATCAACAAATAAGCTACAGCTCAGCTGTCACGGCCCTTATATAGCCAGCTGCCTGCCGGAGATCAGCCGAAAAGATACTATGGTTGCCGATTTTACTAATTTCACGACTTCTATAATTGTCAATTTACTCATTTTTTCTTTTTTATTATTCACTTGTTATTAATAGCAAATTTAATAATTTATACGTTTCTTGTGAATTGTAGTTATATTTGCGTATCCGTGGTATAAATTTTTAGAAATCTCTGTAAAAGCATTCTTATTGCTATTCCAAATTAATTACGAATCATTTAAAATTTTACTAGAAAGTCATAAGACGTGGTAGACGCAAATAATGTATTGCTTGTAAGGTAACGCAAGGAACATCAACTTTCTAGTATATCACAGCAAATATTCCTGTTGGGTATTTGTGAGATACTAAATTCGAACACTCGGACAGAAGACATAATCCATCTTAGAGGAGAACAGCATTGTTTATGTATGACGCACAGTAGTTTCGAAGGGTAAACAATTTGAAGCAAGATTTGCAGCGTTAGAAGCATAGTGTACCTTATTTGCTCCTTTTCTCAATAATACCTCCACCTAATGTCTAGCTGACGAATTCCAATACCTACTAAATTTACTAGCACCTCGAAATCCGATCGTTCAGTCGATCTGTTCCCTACTTTATCGACACAAAAGACTATGACAAAGTAGGATAAAAGATAAGAAAATTAATTTATTAAATACAACCATAAAAATATATATATCTAGATGTACATATATACAGTATAAAAATTTTCTATAAATATATCATTATATAAATATAAATATATTTTAACATATAAAAGTGATATAAATGATGCAAAATTAATTTCGTTCTTATTTGTATGCATTTATAGAAATATCGCAAATATTTTTTGAAATACCAAAAACGTGTTTTATCTGTATAGTTTCATAACTCTGTGCAACAGAGAAGGGCATCATTCGAAATAAGTAATTTAATTACAAACGTTTCTATGTAACCAAAATAGCGTGGGTTTCGAAATTTCAACTTCACTCTGATTCTTTTATTCGATAAAGAAGAGTATCGCTCGAAAGAAGCAATTAGGTGGAGAGGGTTTGCGCGACACATGCTAAGGGCAGTTTTTCACGAGCTGCCTAAGTGGCCAACCGTACTTGGACATTCTCGCGGGTACGTGGACCTTCGATACTTGTCAAAGCAAACAAACGTTCGCTTCATACTTTTTCCTCCGACCTCGTATATACATTTTGTGCGTGCGTCGTTCTACGTACACTTATGCAAACACGTATACACTCGTGACTGCTCCCTGGTGTTAGTGTTTCGAAAATATTCCCACGTAAGAAAGACTTTTTCTTTTGGTTTCAGTTCTACACTTTAAATATTCGTTCGTCACTGAAAAGTATTATAGAAGGAGAAAGTAATAAGAAATATCTAGATAGCGAAAAGAGAAGGTAAATGGGTTCCATATCTCATTGAGTACAGTTGAAATTAGGTTAGAAAAATCTACTTTTGGCAACGTTTATTTAGATATGATTATTGGGTTCGTATTACGAGTCAGTATTTTTAATTTTTCATATAATAATTTTCCAAATAGTTAATTCGTTAAATTACTTCATTGCCCTATGTTATAAATAAGATCATTTTGTGAAGCGTTCACCATGTAATATAAACTAAATTTCTAGGAGATACAAATTGTCAAAGTGATTGGAGAATATAATATCAAAGATCTAATCTCTACGTATACCCGAAATAAAGTGCATCAAGAAGTGTATAATATATCAATCGCTATCTGACAGAATAACGAAGATAGTTTTGGAAGATCAATATAATGATCATGGTTAATCTCGATCTCTGTTCGTAGTTTTGTTTGTCAAGTTAAGTGGCGGTCTCGCTCCCCCTGCTCTTTATTTGTACCCTACTCTTGCTTATTTTTTAGTTTATGCATTTTCCCATCCTATATATACACGGTAAAATTACATTGGTAGAAAAACTGGAAACAATTTTAAGAATTTTTATATTATAATAAAGTACAATTTACTCGTATGTTGTTCATATTATTCTTTGTTATTTCATATATAAACTAATTTAATAATGTAATATATTTTTTTATCTGAAATTATTTATTTTCAGATTCCATCATAAATTTGGTACATTATACATTTCGATTAATCTTATTCGACATTACAAAAATGAAAAAAGAAAACTTGGTTTTCAATCAAGAAAAACAAATGTTAAATGAGGAAAAGGATAATGATACATGCATATGTCGGAGGTCCGTTTTGTACATGGTTCCAACGGTACGGCGTGGGCCCATGATAACGTTTTAACAAGAAAGCAACAATCTCTTTGCTGCTACCGAGAATAACCGAGTTCCTTAGGTACTGCAGAGTGTTTATATCGTCGATTTGGGCCGCGGAGGTGTTCTGCGTTTCGTCAACCAAAGAGTTTACAAAGCCGGACCGATTCACCTTCTCGTGTTTAACACCTTCTATTAGCATAGCACGTGCCGCTTCTCCCACTCGTTCCGAGTTTTACTTTGCGAGTTAAAAAACGTATACTTTCAAATTTGTATACCTTTGGTTTTACACTGTTTCTGTATGTGTGAAATACAGTACAGTTTTAGGTAATAAAGTATGTAAATTAGGTAAAAAGAAACATTAGAAAAATACTTCTGTATATCGAATTTTAGTGCAATGCAGTATATTATGATAATTATACAATCTCTGTATATTTTTTAAATTTTCCAGAATCATTAATTCGAAAATAAATCGAAGTTTATTTCCTGCTAGATCCTGCTAGATAGATAAGTATATATTGGTTTATTATGGTTTAAACTAGAAAAGATACTCATCCTATTTCGAAGATACTTTAGATAGTGATTTGATACCATTGTGATATATCAAGCTCTGTATCGAGCATCTGAGTTACAGTATATAAAATCAACAGTGTCATCGGTATAAAGTTATCAAGTTGTCTAAACATCGGATCGTCATCGAATAAAGATGTCTTCGAAAAGCGCTGCAAATATTTATTCTCGATAGTCACCACGCGACTATCCGTTTATTTAATATCCAGTAAACGATCTACAATGACCTAATGTCGAGTAATCAGCCAAGACAATTTGAGATTACTGATTCGTTATGAGCTGACCAAAATATAGGGATCCAAAAATTTACGCGAGATTTGAATTTCGCGCCATTTGTGCGGTAAAGTGGTGCCAACGAAAAAAAAGACAAAAGCATGACAGCTGACAGTTCAGGGTTATCAAAAATGGAACGCAACATGAAAAAACAACGCATCTTCATTGTTCAACAATATTTACAATTCTTAATTAAAAACTTGTATTTTTTATCAAAATTACTTCTTGTGTGAATTTTAAGATAACGTATACGTGCAGAGTGTAAATGAAAATAAAAATATACGATATGCTATCGTAAATCTCACGATTTAAATATCTACAATTGCATCGTTCTATGAAGAATATATCTATTTATTATTCGACGGAAATACATTACTCAGTATCGTTATAAACTCGTTTATAACTATTTCTCGATATGCAATTATGTAGTAATTGCCTATAATCATTTACTCATTGAGGTATTGATGTAAAAGTTTGTAAATAATATATATTCGTAATACGACACTTTCCCGTTGGTAACAAGGCTTTTACGTAATTTTCCATGGGAAAAAATGGACAGATGGCGACACGTATACGTATATACGTAAATGTCAGAAGGAGCTTCTTCTCTTTCAATGGACATATCTATAACACGCTAAGATTAAGGGACTAAACGTGGATCAAGTACCGGCGCCAGGATATCCACGAAATTCGAAACCGTCGCCGTGAAACAATACTTTCTCAGCATGTAACTAAGGCAAACACATTTTCCAGGCGAGTCAAGGTCCGGGCATGGGAATCGATGGGAAAATATATGACTGAAGTCTTCATCTGTTTACAAGCTGAGCTTGTTTAGATTGTTCTTTGGTTCCGAAAAAACAATTATTTATGTTATTGTTATATTTTATCATTTAAATTTTTCAAGATTTATTTTGCAAAGTGTGTATATCGTAATGTGTAACACGATAAATAAATAGTATATTCTTAAATAGCGTGTACGATATACGTAAATATAAAGAAATTATTATTATACAATTCTTTTACTTTAGAGGTTAAGGAATGCATTTTTTTTCTGTAATAAATTTTATTTGTTTAATTTCTAATAATATTTCTAATAATATTCGCAAGTATCAATTAGGAAGGAGTAAAGAATAGGTAAATAGCCCAGTTACTATATACCCTATTTATTACTAGTGACTTTTTATACATGGCTAAAAGTATTTTATACAAAAGTTTACAAGCTTCTTAATCGATTTATTCAGATTTAACGAAAAATGGAAAGATGAATAGAACATGTTTCAACCGACACTGACTGATAAAAAACTGGACCAAAGTTTTATGGAGATTTTAGAGATAAATAAATATTAATACACTGGTTGGGAAGCGTTAAGTATTCAAAAGAATTTGTCCCAGTTCACCACAAAGGTACACATTTAATTACACTTCTCATTAATTAATGTACATTTAATGTATATCATTAATTTCCCCTAATTTCTGCTTGCATATGTTAAAATTTTGTTACAAAATAATTTTATTAAGTGAATCAACAAATTAAAAAAATTTTTTATGACTAATAAGCTATCGAATTAGGAATTCGTAAAAATACAAAATATTTTAAAAACGAAAAAAAGAAACTGTGAAACACATTATATTCGAATTTTTAATTATGACATTCCAAATTGCCGAATATTTCAAAATTATGGATAAACTGTTGGAAGATTATGAAATTGCAAAATTTGGGAAAACGATGTATAAAAATAAAAAAGAAAAATCTTCAGTTGGTCGATTTCTGAAATTAATATTTCTTAATTACTACTAAAGTTAACAATTTGTTTCGCGAGTTTATTTCAATCCGATAGAGAATAAAAATTGATAGTTATCAATGAGAATTAACTTAATTATTAACTAAGAAACAAAACACTTCTATTTACACGCACACATGTACCCACAGACGCGTATGTACAAACGAACGCTTGTATTTTACAACATATCCACTACTGAAATAGAAACGACAATCTGCTTTCTCATTGCAACTTAGAAAGTTCTACAAAATGAACTTGATAAAAGAATTTTTTCAAATTTTCACAGATAGAAAAAATAAAAAAGGAGGAACGATAGTGAAATGTCATCTTTTTCTTCGTCCTCTGGCTGAGATGTGTTAAAAATTCTCCAATTTTATCAATATTCTACTTACCGTAACTTTTGCACTAACCTAATCTTACTTCGCGGCTATGTAAATAAATTAACCTTAATTTATTACGTAACATCTCGTTGATTATGAAAAAGGAAAATTTATCAATGAATACGTTCCTTTCGCTTATTTATGATTGTTGAAACACCTAATAATCGACTAGGGAAAGTCGAGAATAATCGAAAATTGCCTCGAATCTTTCTGGCTAGCCACCAACATAGATCTAACCTCCTATTTGATTTGTTTCTCGACAATCACGATGGAACAGAAGCCGCAGCGTGTCAGAAATAGATGGGGGATCGGTAATTTTATTGCATCTGGTTGGTAGGTGATTCCTGCTTCAATTCGAGGGCCCACATATGCTGCGGCCAACCAGTTCGTCCTTTGCTTTTCGACGATTCCTCAGATCCGAGACCTGACGCTTGGTGCAAGTACGACTCGTTCTGCAACAAAAAATTTCACGTACTCACCTGTGCTTACATATACTTATTTTTTACATTTACATCTAAATTTTTTCCCAATATTCCTTGAAATTCCTTTATTTTTATGATTAATTATAGGTTTGAAATTCCTGTTTATAGGTTAGTTTCTCTTATTACGATAATTATATTACTTTCCGGAGGCTAAAACAAATTTCGATAAAAATGGAGGAATAATGAAAAAAATTAGTCTTTCAAAGGTGAATGACTTTCGAAATGAAGAATTCTCCTTGGGTGGCAAGCTATCGCTAGAACAGGGAAAACCACAGAAGTATAGGATAGTCCAATGATAAACTCGTATCCCTAAACTTGGAGTCCCAGAAACGGTGGGACAATCGGGACTATAATAATCGAAAACCTGTGGTACCTGGCAATTTAACCGCAGTCCATATTTTTCATCGTTTCACAAAAATTCTTTCCTTCGTGACGTGGCGCACGGATTTATCGAATTCCGAATATACCATTTATTAACAATCAAATTTTAGATTTGAAATACATATAGCGTCCACATCTAATAATAATCTAACCTCAAAATGCTTATAGAATTACGTTGGAAATTTCCCAAATGAGTCATATAAATAATCTTAATATCTTTGATGACATCATTTGACATGTCTGACAGTAATAGTTGAACGTTCGTTTAGGATCGAGGAATATTCAGTCTCGTTTTAAATTTACTGAAATTAGATTCGATATTTCAGTTCTCTTCGATAGTTCAGTTCTACAGGAAAATTAATTTCTCGTGCAACGTCAATAAACTGACTCTGTCACAACACGGAAGACAAATAGGTTACACGCTTCATCAAGAACATCTACTCCGACGGCACACGAAGATGAAATTTTTCTTCTCCATCTCTTTTCTTCTGAGGAGTTTCAAGCACGATAACTTAATGGCATACGGGTTCTCAAGCGTTGACGAACGAAACCTAATTAAAAAGGGCGATGTTTATTCGAAGACAACACTTACGACAGTGTTCCAGAAGATTTAAGGGAACGTAGACAAAGGAGGGTATAAATTCGTGACTGAAGTGTGCACCGCTAATTTTCGTTGGAGAAATACGTTCAAGTACCTCAAGTACGCATCTTTTAAAGGCTAGAGATGAACCGTAATTGGTTTCCAATTTTCGAGTTTTCTATAAGAGATTTGGAACGTCAACGGCATCGTTACTATCTTAAAATTTAAAGAATTTAGGATAAATTTAATTTAACACTTTGCGTACGGGTCACGAGATATCTTGTTTTAATGTTTCTTTCGATTAAATCGACCACTCGAGGAATTAAAAATGGATTTTCTTACGTTACTAAGGCACCGAAGCTCTATGGATTTTATTATAAAGGATGTCCCAAAATTCACGCAAGAATTTTGAAAGAAAATAAACAAACCTTCGTTATTTTTAAAATATTTCTCAGCAATGAAGATGCGTTGTTTCGCGTAGCGCTCCATTTATAATAACCCTGAACTGTCAGCTGTCACGCAGTCTTTTTTCTTCGTTGGCAACACTTTACCGCATGAATGGCGTAAAATTCAAATCTTGCATGAATTTTGGGACACGGTTAAATGAATGAGTAGAACTCCAAAAGAGTAGGAAACAATCGATTAGCACACCCATTACATCGATAGGCTTGTGTCGATAGTGCATCCTACCTTATAAAGTGTTTTATCGTTACGAGAATATATTCTCAATAACTCAAACTCTCGTTGACAGTGAGACAGTTTTTTCTTTACCAGACCTACACAGGTTTAATTAACTGCGATTGTAATTTTCGTTATAGAATTCGTCAACAGTCGCCATCAGCGCGTTCCTAATCCTAGATAATTTGTACAAAAATACGAACCTGATTCGCCTGAGCCGTCTTGTTTCTCCTGCCATTGGACAAAATTTCGGCACGAAAGGTCTGCGGTTCTTCCCCTTCGTCGCTCTCCAGTACAGCCATCAAGTATCCGATGTACGAAGCTGCCAGCCTCAAGGTTTTGATCTTCGATAACTTCGTATCTGCGGGCACATTCGGTATGCAATCGCGTAGATCAGCGAACGCATTGTTTATACTCTGTGTTCGTCTTCTCTCTTTCTTATTCGCGGTATTTCTTCTTTTAGGCCTGACAACCACGCCACTGGCCCTGACCTCTTGCCTCAGGTGTTGCTGCAGAGATCCGTCAGCGGGGTTCATGGAGGAAACCGTGGAGTAATCGCTATCTCGTCTGTGATTCTGTTGATGATGATGGTGGTGATGATGCAAGTGATGATGAGAGACCTCTTGTTGAGTTTGGTAAGCTAAGTTCGAATAGTGTTGGCTCATCGAGGGGTGAGGGTATTGCTGTAGAGGTGAGTAATTGGGCTCCTGGACACCGATCTCTTCGATCAGGGGAGGCGTCGAGGCGGTGGGACTCCCAGCACCGGAACTACCCCCAGAGATCCCGGAATCCGCGCCCCAGTACGTCGATTGGCTATCCGCGTCGGGTACGTTCAACGGACCTACGACAGAAGAATGGAGAATTTCATCGAATGGCGTACAACAGTTATTCTATAGCGCGTTCGAGAGAAGAAGGCACAACATTTTTACATTTCAGGGTAGATTAACTCCGTGGACACTCCCTTGATCACAAAAAGTAACCGGTATTAGCCGAAGACAGTGACGAAGATCATCGGTCACTGCATCTTCGTCGTCTTTGTCACTGTTTTCCGCCAATAGCGGTCACTGCCTGTGATCAAGAGAGTGTCAACGAAAGTAATCAGCAGTGAGGATGTAAACACGCTATGTCCTCTTTTCTCGAAAGCACAGTAGGGTATTATTTCTTCTCTCTTATATTATATTATATTTACACTTTTCCTTCTTTTTCTCAAATATAATTTTAGTAACGATCTTTACGAAAGTTACGGGAAGTCACTTCTTTCAATAGTTGCTTTTTTTGTTTGGTTTTGTGAAGCCGAAATTAATATAAGTAATTACATATGGAGTATAAATGTATGCAATGACACGAGCAAAGTTCATTAGGAACAATTATTATGTGAATCATTTTCTTCATATCATATAATCAAAATATAAATAATCGAGTTATTATGAAATTTAAATAGGAAGTTATATACGAATTTTCCAGCTGTTTTAATGTTTCGTATTAAAATGTATTATTTAACAGAAAATGGATTTATAAGTCTCGTTATATTGATTTTTAATAACAAAAATTTGGAATTATCGATTTCTTCAAACACTGTGTTAATTAATTATATATCTGTGTAAAATTATTGTACAAATTCGATTTCTCATAAGATCTCTGAATTGATATTCTCCAAGAATATTAAGCTGTTTTTTATTCTGGATATTTACAACAGGGCAAACTTTGGATTTCCATTCAGCGTATTAAAACATGAAAAACTGTTTATAAGTATTTATGAAGAAATACTAATAAGATCCCATGCGTGTCTATTACTATGGATCATCGAATTTGTTCAAAGATGTTTGGATTAATTTCCAAAGCAGGCGAGTGTGAAAACAAGGCAATTCTGCTTAACTCTGCTTATTCTATGTGGCGACATTAATTCTTCTCTAAAATTCCACAATTATTTACAATCTGATACTTAAAACTAATTGAAAATTTCTAAATACTTGACAGTAACTTTTTCATTAAACGAAGTCTAAGAATAAGAGCAGAAAAGTGAAAAATTTCTACTTATGTGAAACTTGTGACAAGAAATGTTTATTAGAAGTATCAGAAACAAAATAAATCTACAGTATAGTCCTGAGAAATTCAACTAAATTCTATCTTCATTATACTTTTGTTTTTACACACAAAATCTTATACTCAAATCTTTACGTGAACTATAGTAATGTAGAAATAACGATATTCAATTATCCGTTCATTCGGATCTTTCACGAATGACTAAAAGTTGAATTCGGTTTGCATAGGTGTGATGATCGAACGAATACAATTTGGTGTCGGTATAATGAAAGGATACAATGATTGAAAAGTAGAAACAATAATTTGAAGGTACAAAAATGTCTTTCCTTTCCTTTGTAAATAATTCTAATGTACATACATGTACATACATGTACATACAGTATATTAAATTAATAATTTAACACGGTGCCAAGCAAATTTTCTGCAACTTAGTCATAGCATATATAATGTACCTTCTTATTAGAAAATCAATTTGCAACATCAAAGATGTTACAAATTTTACAAATATATCTACTTTCACTAATTCCGATGTCGTTCGTTAGTTCCATAGTAAACAACGCGTTATATACATTTATGAAATTAAGAGTCTTGTTCACTTGTGCATTTTTCATTTCGGTCTATCGATTCAGTCTCGATTAAATTTACAGACTTATCAATTTTATTGTCAACGAGCCGAATATTTTTATCGGATCTAGCAGTAGTTCTGGTTATGGGCAATCAATGTGGCATTTAATATCTAGGACGAAAACGTATTCAAAATCCTTTTTTTCTGAAAGCGGGAACTCTGATCCAAAGCAAAAAAGTTACTTATATGGGATGTCCTAAAATTCACGCAAGATTGGAATTTTGCTCCATTTGTGCGATATAAAGTATTGCCAACGAAAAGAAAAAGATACTAAGAATACATCAGTGTACTTTATGAATCAATAAAAATATTTACAATTTTTAATTAAAAACCTGTTTTCTATCTAAATTACTTCTTGCGTAAATTTTGGGATTATTACTTCTGCAAGATTAACATAAGTTAGAATTTCATAGACTCCTTGATGATTCTACAATGTCGGTCCAGAACTAAGATTACAGAGAGTGAAATAAATGATGAGATTAATATAAGCAAGAACTGACCGTATGGCAATTGCGTGACGTAATTGTAGGGTTGGTGCCATTGTGGATAGTAATCCGACTGTGCTTCATAGCCCCCCAGCATCATTGTAATTTTCTTTTCCTTTCTCCACTATCTTCTTCTTGCACCAGCCACTAAAACTTCACTGATCAAACCGATTCAACCTAATCCAAAACGATCTACTTTGAAACTTTGATTCGGGCTACTAGTATTAATTTTCGATAAGATGGTTTTCTAATTGATTTTCTTCATAGGATTCCGAATATGGACCAGTGGAGAAGCAAAGCTTGGATGGATAACGATCCCGTCACGAATTTTGGGAAAATGGAGATGCAACGTTGATTTCTTCGAAGACTGTGACGATGTAAAGAGAAATTTTTGGTCATTCACCGGTCCACCGTGACGCAGAAGCAATGTCTTCTCAAATTCGAAGGTAAAGGATATTTTATCGATCAGTTTCACCCTATAATCGTCGATCTTTGTTTATCCGGGAGTCCACCTTGAGCTACGGCGAACGATCGCGGTTCCGTCGCAAGTCTTGTCCAAGGAAGAGAAATTGCCAGGAAATAATTAATCCTCGGTTAATCACGATTCCACTACAAACCGCGATTTTCTCACAAATCGCGTCGAAGTAGAATTTTCTATTAATTCCACTTGATCGAACAGTAATCACGATTTCACCCCGAATGAAATGTGATACGTGTATGATCACGATGCTTATTGCAAATCATGCAAATTAAAGTCTCGAATTAATTTACAGTTTGTTTAGAAAAGCATCGAAGAGGATAAGGTCTCCCGATATTGAAATATCGGGATCGAGCGCGAATCACTTCCAGGAAGAGAAGAAAGATTCCTTTACAAATCGGTAAGAAAGTGTGGAAATCTTCGAGTCCCGATTTCGCTGCAAAGTAATTACTTCGGGCACCAACTCAAAGCTTCTTCCGTCTATGTTCTGCAACCGATCACCGAAACGGAGAAATCGGCGAGCAAAGGCACACAAGGGTTGCAAGCTGCAAAGTGATTGCACCGGGTACCAACTCGAAGCTTTTTCCGTCTATTTTCTGTAACCGATCACCGAAACGACGGAGAAATCGGCGAGCGAGGATACACGAGGGGTTGCAAGTCGTGTGACGCGTGACACCGTGCCACTTTGTTCTCGAGGTCGGTGCGTTTCCGGATGCAGTCCAAGTGGCACTGAGAAAAGAACGCCGATTTCGGAGGTCGCCTCCAGTGACTACGTGCGTGCGTTATTCAGTTGCCACTCGACACCCTGCTAGTGGGTGTAGACGTTGCCTGCAGAGGGA